GAGCGGTCTGGGTCTGTGGTGTAACCTCACCGTTGGGTGAAGGGTGCGTGTTCAGGTGCCCGTGTTCACAGCAGCTGGGAAGGTGACACTTTGGTGGCATCTGTGAGCACTTAAAGGCAGTCTTAAAGCAGGGACAGGAACGCTTGCTAAGCAGAGTAGATTGCAGGACCAGCAGAGATGTCAGTGCTGTGGCCCAGGTTCATCTAAATTCGATCTATGACTTGGGTGGGAAGGTGGCTCCATCCATTGTGTTTTGTACATTATATACGCCTTTCTGGTCGTGTCGGGAGATGGGTGCCTGGCTCGGGCCCATCCAAAGTCATCTGTCCAGCTCTCAGCAGGGATAACCTTTACACTTTACACTTCATCCCCGGCTGCTCCGGGTCCGGGGTGAGCTCTGCTGTCTGGCAGCTGTGATCTCCTGGCAGAGGCCTCGGGATGCAGCATTAGGACGGGATGTAGGCCTTGTCGTTGTCATTGCTCTTCCATTACAAGAGGTCACTGGCTCCAGGAGGATGCCTTCCTCCTCCTCCTTTTTCTCCTCTCTTAAGACATACGGTAGGACTTTGTCCTTTTTAGCCAATCGAGCAGAACACGCGCTGGTCTCCTCACCATGTGGACCCTGACCTTTCTTACAACCCCTGGCAAATCCTGCTTTTTCTTTGCATACTTCATTTGCTCAGGAGCACTTAGTTTAAGCGTGAGGAGTAGCAGTTCTGTACCTTGCTATTTGCATTGGCGTGTCGGTGGTGTGGGGGACACAAACTGGACCCTTTCTGACACGGGATCCTGCCACTGAGCATCTTCAGGCTCCGCACGAAGGGATGTTTTCTGCGGTACACTTGCTTAAACTAAGAAATCCTCTCTTGCAGCTTAGTGTCCTGCCTGGGACTGGGCATTGAGCCTAGCGAGGAAGAGCACTTGATTTCTTTGCCAGTGCTCCTGCTTTGAGCCTTAGTTCTTAACGTAGAGAACCGCTGGGTAAGTGGAGGGCACACGCGGAGCGATCGCCTGGGGATCGTCCCCAGCTTTTTCACTCCGCATGTGTAAATACATTAATACGATATTTTTTTTTTAAAAAAAAGGGGGTGAGGGTGGGCGGGAAGGCGCTGTAGCGCGTTGGCAAAGGTGGCAGCACTTTGGTGGTGGATGGCGCAGGGAGGCAGGAGACGATGCGATAAAAATGCAGTGGCCGAGGGAGCTGTGCAAAGTACGCGGGCACTGAAGCCAGGGAGGGTCCAGGGATGAACTTTCTGCTGGGCTCTGCCCCTAAATTGCCCTGTGAAGAGAGGCTGGAGGGGAGTATTCTTAGTTATACACGTATTAAAAAAAAAAAATGTTTAGTGGGGGGAGAAGTCAGCCGGGAACACTTGTACAGCTCTTGCTCCTTTCCTGTAGACGTGCCCATATGCTAAGCAAGGGCTCGTATATAACTTCGGGGCCACTCGTGTCGGTTCTTCACCCAA